AGACTTCCTGGAATCTGGACATGAGGCCCAATCTGAATCACAATAGCCTTTCATAGAAAAATCTGCATCTTTGGACAAAAACAAACCCAATGTAGGATCAGACTTCAAGTATCGAAGGAGGTGAAAAACAGCCTGCAAGTGTGGCTCTCTAGGGTCCTGCATGAACTGGCTTAAGTGTTGAACACTAAAAGCAATATCCAACTTTGTGTTTGTAAGGAAGTTAAGTTTTCCAAATAACTTTCTGTAGAAAGTACTATCACTTAAAACTGGACCTTCCTTTGCTCTCAGCTTGGTATTGGGATCAAGAGGGGAAGATAAGGAGCTCAGATGCAAACAATCATACTCCTTTAGTAAGTCAAGCACAAATTTTCTTTGTGAGACAATAATTCCCTGATCTGTGTGAAGTACCTCCATTCCCAAAAAATAGTGAAGTAATCCCAAATACTTAATTTTGAATTTGTCGTTTAGATAAACTTTCAGGTCTGCTATCTCATCAGCATCAGTACCTGTAAGAACTATATCATCAACATACACAGCTACATAAACTGCTGAATTTGCTTTCTTCTTATAGAAGAGAGAATAGTCATACATAGAGTGAGCATATCCCCTAGAACATAAAGCTTCAGTGAGCTTAGCATACCATTGCCTACTAGCCTGCTTGAGTCCATAAAAGGGACTTGTTCAACTTGCATACCAAATTAGGAGACTGGACAGCAAGTCCAGGTGGTACGTCCATGTACACTTCCTCATGTAGATCACCATGAAGGAAGGCATAGTCCACCCTTGTTTAACTGCTGTGATTAATAAGGCCTTGACTGTGGTCATTTTCACTACAGGGGAAAAAGTTTCAGTATAATCAATGCCTGTTTGCTGTGTATAACCTTTGACAACAAGCCTGGCCTTGAGCCTTTCTATGCTCCCATCTGCCTTGTACTTCACCTTGTAGACCCACCGGCAGCCTATAGCTTTCTTCCCAGGGGGAAGGGGAACTAAATCCCAAGTGCAATTGGAGTGCAAGACATCAAACTCTTGTGTCATGGCTAGCTGCCATGCAGGATCGATGACAGCTTCCTCATATGACTAGCAGGAATTAGAGCACTATGAGCCAAGTGGTGGTGATTAGAGAAAAGGGCTTGGAGGGAAGAGTTGGTGTTTGAGTTTTGAGGAACAGATGGTTTAAGTTGAGGTATAGAGTGAACATAATCATTCAAATGTTTTGGAGGTTTGTGACATCTAGTGGATCTCATAGGTTCAGTTTGTTGGAGAGCAGGAGGTTGGTTAACAGATAGGGGTGCAGGAGGTACAGATGGGGAAGGCATGGATGCAGAGGGATTAGGTAATAAGTCACATGTAGCAGTAGGACCATTTGAACTATTTAGAGTATCCTGTGTGCCATTTTTGACAAAAACATCCAAAATATCAATGAAATAAGGTGACTGCAACAATGAAATAGGTGAAACAGTTGTATTTGAAGGGGTATTATTAAAAGGAAAAATATTTTCATGAAAAACAACATCTCTGGAGATATGTATTTTACCTGTAGACATATTTAGGACTTTGTACCCTTTTGTCTCATGAGGATATCCAATGAAAATATGAGGAGTAGTTCTTGGTTCAAACTTAGCTCTATGAGGTATGGGTACAGTAGGATAACAAAGACATCCAAAACTTCTCATGTGTGAATAGAGGGGTTTTCTGTGGTATAAAATTTCATAGGGACATTTTTTGTTCAACACAGTGGATGGGAGCCTATTTATTATGTATGTTGCACAGAGAATGCACTCTCCCCAATACTTAACAGGAAGTTTAGACTGAAACAACAGTGCTCTAGCAGTCTCAAGAAGGTGTTTGTGTTTTCTCTCCACCACACCATTTTGTTGTGGTGTGTAGGGACAAGTTTTCTGGTGAAGTATACCTTTGGTTTGAAAATAAAAGGTTGCCTCTGTATTGATAAATTCCAGACCATTGTCTGTTCTGATTGTTTTGACAGTGGTTTCAAATTGGTTTTCTACCATAGCAATGAAGGCTTTGAGAGTTTGTAAAGCATTGCTCTTAGTACTTAACAACTGAGTCCAAGTGGACCTACTAAAGTCATCCACAATAGTGATGAAATATTTAAAGTGGTTATGTGTTAGTGTATGGTAAGGCCCCCACAAGTCAACATGAAGTAATTCAAAAGTGTGTGAGGTTAGTGTGGTTCGTGGTTTAAAAGGTAGTCTTTCTTGTCTTGCCATAGGGCAAATGGAACACATAAAAGGTTGCTTGGCTGAGAACTTCACAGGGATGGTGGAAATATCTCTCATTTTGACAAAAGGGACATGTCCCAATCTATTATGCCACACAATGTCTACATGATTTCCAGCACATGTTTGAGAACTAGAAGTACAAGAAACTGGACATGGAATAGAACATGACATTTCTTTATTGAGAATAGGAGTACATTGCTTGTTATCTAAAGTCTGAATAGACTGTCTGTTACTACAGTTATTGCAAGAATTATTTGGAATGACACTACTACATTTCGAAATATTGAAAGAGTTCTTCAAACAACTTGGACACAGGAAGTATAGACCCTCTTCTGCACTACCAATCACCAGAGGCCTCTTCATTGAAGGGGCCTGCATGAAACAAGAAGTTTTGGTGAAGCTAACAGTGTATTTTGAGTGAACAGTCAGAGTATGAATAGAAATCAAGTTATATTTAAAAGATGGCACATACAGAACTTTATCTAAATTGATCATGGGCCCTAATGTCACACTACCAACTTGAGTCACCTTAACTTTGTATCCATTAGGCAAGGCAACTAACAAAGGATATGGTAAAAGTGTGATGTTGTGTAGTAGAGATATATTAAAAGTCATGTGGTTTGAGGCTCCCGAGTCCAATATCCATGAGTCAGATTTGTTTTTGAAACAATTACATGACAGTTTTCCAAAATCAATAGAGGAAGTGCAGACTATGATACCTGCAAAATCAGTTGCTGGTCCATTAGCAAGGTTTGGATTGTTGTTGGATCCCTCATGCTCATGTTCCCTGTGGAATTGCTGAAGCATGCCTTGAATCCGAGTCCAATATCCATGAGTCAAATTTGTTTTTGAAACAATTACATGACAGTTTTCCAAAATCAATAGAGGAAGTGCAGACTATGATACCTGTAAAATCAGTTGCTGGTCCATTAGCAAGGTTTGGATTGTTGTTGGATCCCTCATGCTCATGTTCCCTGTGGAATTGCTGAAGCATGCCTTGAACATGACCATATTGGTCTTTGGTAAGGCTCACATTGTACATCTCCTCATCTAATCTTTTGCCAGGGGTAAAGTCTGGTGTGCAATTAGCATTTGCTACAACATTATTGCCAGATCCTTTGTTGGTCCTCTGATTTCCCTTGCGAAAAGTATTAGGCCTCGGAGTTGGATTGTTTCTTTGATTTGGGCTTGGGTTGTTTGAATTAGTTGGATATCCATGGAGTTGATAACACTTCTCAATAAGATGACCAGTCCTGTTGCAGTAAGTGCAGAATTTGTCCTTGTATTGAAGCTGAGAGTGACCATGTGAGGCATTAGGAGCATAGTTTGTCTTGTAGGATGAAGAAGGCCTGACATTTGATGAAGAAGGCCTGACGTTTCCAGCATGTAAAGCAGTAGCTTCTACATTAAAATGGTTAGAAGGCTTAATTTCCCTCCGGTGTTCATCCTGGACTAACAGAGAAAAGGCCTGAGCCATAGTAGGCAGCGGATTCATCATAAGTATGCTCCCACGAATAACTGTGTAAATCTCGTTCAACCCCATGAGAAATTGGATTAACCTTCTATCTTGTTCTGCTTTGTGAACAAGTGCCTTTGCTCCGCAAGTGCAGTTGCAAGTGCATTGAGCTTTGGCATTCAAAGTACTAAGCTCTTCCCAGAGCTTCTTCAATTTGGTGTAGTAACCTGTGATATCAAGAGAGCCTTGGGACAAGTCGTTAATTTCTCTTTGGATCTGATACAACTTCGCACCATTTGTTTGTTCATATCGATCTTCAAGTTCTCTCCATAATTCTGCAGAATCCTGGACATACTCAACACTATCAGCAATTTCCTTAGATAGAGAGTTCAGGATCCAAGAGGTAACGATATCATCACATCTTTCCCATTGTCTGTACGATGAGTCATTGGATTGAGGGCGTGGGCAATCCCCATTAATGAAGCCCAACTTGTTCTTCACTGAAAGTGATCTCAGAACACTACGCCTCCAGGAACGAAAACCAATTCCAGCAAATTGAACTGGTACAAGCATTGCTCCGGGGTTATCAGAAGGATGCATGTAAAAAGGGTGATTGGAATCAATTGTGTTGTTGGTGGAACCACCAGATTGATCAGAATTCGCCATAGATGAGCAGAGAAGGAGAAAACGAACAACAAAAGAGATCTACGCAATTGCAGATCAGATCGTAAAAGGATGAGTACTTCAGAATCGAGATGGCTCTGATACCATATCAACAATGGAAGCCTTGACTACAATCAGTAAAGAAGAAGAGTAGAAAAGATAACTTGTAGAATGCAAAGCTTGAATGATTCTATTTCATCAGTGAAGTATATATACACATCAGCTGGAAGCTTCTAGACTATTACACTTTGAGCTAACTAACTATACACATTGAATACATGAGCTAACTAACTCTCTAACCAATTCTATAACTAACTATGTGAGCTGTACAATGCAATACGTGAGCTGTGCAATATAATACTTAATACTATTAATTCAATTGATAACTTTAATTCCATATTCCGGACCACATGGCACATACAATTCTAAATCTGATTCATTTGGTGATAGGGTAGATATATACGGGTTCAATCGATTTTTTTCAATGAAAAGTTATATTATATAAAATTACTATATATATTATTTTTTTGGTTGTTTTTATCAAAAACTTATATTATATATAAAATTAAATATACAAAACAAGCTCTTAATTTCTTCATATATTTACTTTTTTAAGTGGCGTGTAAAGAGAAAAATAGACAAACTAATATGAAACGGAGAGAGTAATAAAAAATATAAAGAACCGTAAAACAAATAGTTAAGTAATTCCTATATATTACATCACATAAATCTAGATTTATTCTCCTATGTAATTCCTGGAAGGATTTAGTTCAATCCTAACTTGTGGAGAACTGCATTCCCTGCATGGAAAGTTATTTAGACCATAAAGAAAAATGTATTTATCCAAAATTAGTTTAGGAAGCTGAAAGAACAAAACAAGTGACTATAGTAATTTGGGTTAACTTGTGTAATATTCCCTTAATTAGCATCTTATTTTTTGTACCTTATTCTCTTTTCCCCCCTCCCTATAAAGCTCCCTCTTGTACCTTACATATAATATTCTGTATAATTAACATATTATATTTTGTTCACAAGTTATATATGTCAAGCAGGACATAATTTTGATACAAATCCTTCACAAATCTAGTCGGATTGAAAAAATAAGTACGTTGTTATCATTTTTTCACAAGTTTTGCAAAATAGAAAAAAAAACTTATCTTTTCAAGTTACACGGAGTGATCGTAACCAGGGGCGGATCTACGTGGGAGTGAGGGGTTCACCTGAACCTTCTCAATAAAAAAATTACATTATATGTATAAGGTCGAATTTGAATATTCTGTGTATATAACATTAAATGAACCTCCTCTCACAATTGAGAGGCGTAGCCCAATGGTCTAGAGGGTTCATGTTTCAACATGTCATTAAGGTTTTGTGTTCACTCAACTTTTGCGGGATGAGCAAAGTTTGCATATATTGTTAAATTATTCAATAGTTTTATTGATTTGTCAAGAATTCACATTATTCTATCTGTCTTGTTAAATTATTCTTAAATCTTATCTGATTGACAAAACTTGCATTTGTTGTTCAATTGTTCACAAATTATGCCTAATTGATATGACTTGATACTATATTTATTCTACTTGCCTTGTTAAATTATTTGCAAGTTATGCCAAAAGTCTTATCGGATTGGAAAACTTGAATGTGTTGTTTAGTTGTTCGATTATAAAATTTATTGGACCGGTCAGACATGAATCATGTATACTATTTCCATTTTACCTTTCTTCTTAAATTTTTTTTTTTTTTAAAAATGTCTTTCAAATAAACAAACTTGTTTGCGTCGTTCAATTATTTATATCTATAAAAAAGTTATTTTCTAATCAAGTTTTTTGAATTCATAAAACATAGAAATTAAATGGATACCGCTACAAATATATATCCTGTACTTTGTGCAAATAAATGGGATCAAATCTTGTTGCTTCAAATGTCCAAGAGTGAGCACCATGGATCGTAGTGCAGTGGTGAGACTGTCTCGTCCTTAATAAGAAATTTCGGGTTCAAGTTTTGAATATGGAGAAAATTTTATTGAAAGTGCTATTCTAATATGGACTTTATAGTGTGCGAAATCAGATCATGATGAAAAAAAAACCCCAAATAGTGCTAATCCTATATGCATGTCATTAAAGTTTGGAGCTCAATATAGAAGGAAGAAAAATAAATCTAAATTTCATGAAAGTTATAGATTAACCTGATAGTGGTGCATTAAAAAAATCAAATGAATTACCGGCAATTGGCAAAATGAGTGAAAAATAAAAGCAAAAATAATGAGATTGCCCTTAATCCGTGGACGTGTCAAAAATAATAATAATCTGGATGCTTCTAAAATTAACAAACTAATCACTACATAGCTGGAGTTCTCCAGATGTCCCCCTTGAAATTTTATTTTCTTTTACAGTAAGAGATAATCTAACACGTAATTACAAATCACAATCATATTATTAATTAAAAGTTTGTGATAAAATATGAAAATGAATTTCATTTCAGTGCTCGAAAGTAATATTTCAAAGTTTTTGTATTTTCTTTATTATGTGTGTAGTATATAACTTCAACCATAAAAAATATTTTTTTCATCTCATATATTCATACTAATAATAACTAATTATGCCAAGCTTCCACATAGTTTTTTTGGGAATGAGTCAACATCCATTACATCATCATTCTAACACGTAAATATTGTTGGATTTTAAAAGGTGTGAATAAAAAATAAAGAGTTGTGACTTTAATAAAAAATTGTACCTTTTTGATGGATTATGATTTTTTTAAAGGGTTGTGACTTTCCGATAATAAGGCACAATAAACATTTGTTCACACTACCATTTGTTGTTTATAAATCAAGGGTTTCCTCTTATTTTTCAACAACAAAAGTCTAGGGGTGTACAAAATCGAACCGAAAATTAAATCAAACCGCAAATTGAATCAAACCGAGAAAAAAAACCCGACTAGTGGTTGATTTGACTTGGTTTGGTAATGAAAAAAAAATCCGACTATATTTGGGTTTATTTGGTTTTAACTAAAAAAAACCAGCCCGAGACCAAACCAACCCGACATTATATATATAATTTTAAATTTTTATTTTATACATAAAAATATTTACTTTGATATAATTTTTAAAT